TTTGTATACCACTCAGCTCTCCTTGCGTTGACGCGGCCTCGGCTGGCTGCTCATGGCCCTTACCAAGCCTGCATTCCACCCCATCCTCTGAGAATCTCAGCTTTAGAGAAGCTTCTAGCTCATCCTAGGTTTGCGATTTCAACATGAGGGTGCACACCTCCTCACTTAGTCCTTCACAAACGAACACGGGGAACATGTACCACATCGCCTTCTCGTCCCACATCTTCGTAAGGCTAAAATCATGAAAGTCGCGCAGAAATTTAGATAGGTTTCTTCCTTGGAACAGCAGGGCGCGGAGATCTGGGGGCATTGACGACTGCAACACTTCGTGCAACAACACCTTCAAAAGGCACGAATTCCTCCAAAGCAAGATCTTGGCGAAGCCGCTTTCTCCCGCCATGATGCTGGCAGCAGCCTGATACGCACAGCGGGCAATATACCATCAAACAGTGATTTAAGTAAGCTCAGGCAGACAAGGGCATACTGCTAACACTTAAATCCTGCTATCTACTCCTTTACTCATGCGATCAGGCCTCAACCCCTAGTTACCCTGACACTTACAGGGCTTGACGTCTATAGGTGAGTCCAATATATAACTCAAAATAATATTCTCAAAACAAAAAACTTCAAACCTTTAGCTTCCTAAGTGGATGGTCCAACCTGGAAGGGTTCAGGCGAAGGTCTAGCATCAATTACTACCCACCGCTCCCTTAGAGGCGAGCAAAATAGTCCAAATGTTAGCTCTTCCTTTGCTACTCCAACTCCCTCTAGGATTAAATGTCCTTCACGTAAAGAAGGTATTACCCAGACTCACTACGTTCTGTAGCAGAACGACCACTTAGAATCCAGACTCAAACATCTAAGCTCATTCAAGTAATATCCTTCAACTTTCCTTAACCTACTTCTTCTCAAAGCGCACAGACGATTTCTAACCTGACACCTAGGAGAGCGTCTATACCTTCAACTCTTGGCAGAGGACTATTATCTCACTCATCCTTAACTCTATTCTGATGCAACCGTACTACGATGCTTTCCCAATCATTCAAATGACTCTTATGGTAGTCAAAAAAGGGGTACGTAATAGTGTTAATTCTCACAATAATCATGCTTAACCTTAGCCACGTCAAACACGCAAAACACCGCCCAGGCCTGCCAACCATCGAACCAGACGGGTTACCAATCCCAAATACCATCATGCTAGTCAAGGTCGGTGAAAACAGACTCCAAACACTTATCACCCTCGAGTCACTCATACCACATTAATCCAAATCGGGTCACTCCAACCAAGACCACATCGCCTAACCAACCCTCACTTCACGCCTTTCATCCAACACGGTCTGGTGCCAATCATTCTGTCCAAACCAGTCAATAAGGCAGAAGCGGTCACTTCGCCTGAATCATCAATCTGCCTCAAATCTAAACCCGATTTTTAGGGACCTCTCCATTCTACGACACTTCCAATCAATAGTCGATATATCAACTGATCACCTATATAGTCCTAACGAAAACTTTTCGTTTGCCTATTTTCTCACTTCCAATACCCGGATGTCGTTCCACCAGGGACAACGGTAGGCACCCGTTATCCCCGGCAACGGCACCACCTGTCGGGCGCATCGGTCCGGCACCGCGCGTAGCAGCGCGGGACCCTCTCGGCCGCGTCACGCAGGAGTTGGACCAACCTCGACACGAACGTGCAAATGGAGCTTCCTTAGGCCGCTCCGGCCGA